CCCCCCCCCCCCCCCCCCCCCCCCCCCCCTGCCCGGGCGGACAGCCCTGCCGCAAGCATGCCCTTTCTCCTCGTGCCGGCCCCCTCCACACGCACACACCCGCATGGTCCCCTGGCAGAAGACCACGTCCCTGGCCCGATGCCCGAGCGCGCCGGACCAGCCGCCCCCGGCTCCAGGGCCCACCCCTCCCCGAGACTCGGCGCAAGCGAAATAGACCCACATGCCGCGTCGCCGGACAACCAGGAGGAAGCTTTATTGGAGGGGGATGTGCGGGCCCCTTTGCCCGTCGTCAGGCCGGGCCCGATAGATGGCGCCGGCCTACTTGGCCCCCGGGCGGACCTCGGCCGACAGGAGCCCCGGGCACCCGAACACGGCGTTGTCCTTGAAGAGGATGCCCCGCTGCGTCAGGTGCGATGCCACGGCCTGCTGGGCCTTGCCCCGGGCGTCCGACGCCGGGGCATTCCCAGCGAGCCCGGTGACCAGATGCACGACCAGCGGCCGGCCCAGTCGCCGGGCCTCCCGGGCGGCGCCCTCCAGCAGGGCGTCGAGGAAGTGGATGGCTGTGTTTTTGCCCGGAAAAAGAAACAAGCGCGACCCGGACAGAGCGCCACATGGTGGCCGTGGTTAGATACCGGGGTGGCGACATGTTGTACCCGCCCCCCCCCCCCCTCGCACCCCAGCGCAAGCAAGGCACGCGGCCGCGCACGACGCACCTTCGCCCGGGTGGAGACCCATGAAGTCCACCAGGCCATCCAAATCGCCGGCCCGCACGGCCAGCGGGTCCAGGGAGCGGTTCCGCTCGCGGAAGATGGCGCGCGCAGCCGCCCAGTGAGCGGCCGCCTGGGGCAGGGGGGGGGGGGGGGGGAACGGGGCCAACAGGACGAAAGCCGCGCGCCGGATCGACAGCGACAGGGGGGGTTAGAGCATGCAGCGGGCGGGCACACAGGGAGAAGGGCGGGCGTGGGAAAGCACAAAGCGACCGGCGGCCGCCCGGCGCGCACCAGCTCCCGGCGGAGGGTCTGCAGGGCCAGCGCATGGGCCGACCCCTCCTCGGCCACCAGGCGCTTGTGCTCCTCCAGCAGGGCGAAGGCCTGGCGGCGCTGCCGGTGGTAGAGGTCGCCCACCGGCCGGAGGGCCGCGTACGAGGCCCGGATGGCCCTCGGTGCCCGGAGGGCGTGGGAGTCCCGCGCGGGCGGGGCCTCCTCACGCCGGGGGGCCTGCGCCGACCCGAGGCCGGCCTCGGCCTCGGCCTCGGCCTCGGCCCCGGGGGCCGGCGATGCGGCGGTGGCCGGGCCGGTCGTCCCCGCCGCCGGGGCCCCGGGCCGCCGGACGTGCACCGCGTCCGGCGTGGGCTGCGTATGTAGCAGCCGCCGGCTGTCGAAGGCCAGCTGCATCTCGGCCGCCAGCGAGGTCTGGCCGGCGGCCGGGGCCGCCGTGCGCGGCAGGCTCGGGAAGTCCTCCGCCGAGGTGGCGGCCCCCGGGCCGGAGCCGGGCTCCGGGTCCACGGGCCCCGCCGGCGGGGCGTAGTCGGCGCACCGGCCGAACAGATCGTCCAGCTGCTCCAGCCGGTCGACCAGCCCGCCCAGCCAATCGGCCAGCACCGGGCCGCGCTCGAATGCCTGCGACGCCGAGCCCAAGTCCCCGGGGTATTCGAGGACCAGCTGCGCGGTGGCCGAGGCCAGGGCCGGGTGCTGCAGGCCACACTTGTCCCCGAGTGAGCACCCCTCCAGCGACACGTAGTCCGGGCAGACGGCTGGGCGCCGCGCGAGGCGGTCAGTGACACATGGCGAGAAAACCGGCGAGCGAGCGAGGGGGAGGGGGGGGGGGGGGGTCCAGGCGGCAGAGGGGCACCGCCGGCGCCGCCCATCGGCCGCACGTACAGCCGGTGTAGAAGATGGCCTTGTCGGCGGAGATGGCCTCCTCGGACACGTGCGGCACGCCCACTTCGAAGGTGATGGAGGCCTGCTGGCGCTGCTTTCGGGCCGTCGGGCCGGAGGACGGCCGACCACGGCCCGGCGTGTCGTCCGCACGCCCCACCGACACCAGGTCCTCGGCCGGGCCGACGGCCAGCGCCCGGTTCAGCGGCCGGGTGCTGGTCGGCCCGATGTGCCGGGTGGCCAGGCCGTTGGCCAGCTGCTGCGCCAGCGCCTGCTCATGTGGGCGAGGGCATCTGCCCCGGTCAGTATTCCGGGCC